CCTTGTTGTCATACTTTTTCCTTAGTCAAAAAACTTTGCTCCACTTTATATCTCAGGGGGAGGGTGCAGGGGGTGCGCACCCCCCCCTGAGATGACCTGCGGTTTTCTAATACAACTGGTATTCTGCAAAAAAAAAACTATGTGGTTTATTGGTGTTGAAGTAGAGCAAGAAACAAGTGCACCCCCTCCTAAAAAAAATCCTGGATCTGCCCCTGTATCTCTTCACCCAAGTGTATAACTAGGTACCAGCGACTTGGTGTGATGGACTAACATCCTATTCAGAGGGGATAGGGTGGTAGAAATATTTCCAGCTGCTTAGTTTTGCCATGGAAAATTGAATAAGCTCCGTGCTGATGAGCAATTTGGTTTGTATGCAGACTTTAACCTAAACCTTTGTTTCATACTGCAGCCCCAACTGCTCTTCATACTCATGGAATTGCTAAAGAAAAGATTGTCACATCACATCCTTCTGTCAAAGATAAACTGGATCAGGTATGTTTTCACATGACTGCATACATTTTTCATTCTAAATTGAAAAATAAACAAATATTTGTGTAGCCTGCATATTTTTTGTAAAAAGCTAAAACTGGCATTACCATGAGTTGCTATACAATTTTAAGGAAGTTAATTTTTAGACAATTAGGTTGAATATTTTTTGCCAAGTCTTCATTTGAAATTATTGTTTGACTCACCAAGCAGCACTGTATGTCCTGTAAGCACAAAATGGCTCTAAAGTGTTTTTTTAGTTGACCTTATTATTTACTTTGGCTAAGTACTTATTAGTTTCCGTTTCCATTCACGAAGCGAGGGTATCAAGCACATTTTTCGGTGGTTTGAAGGCCTCTCGAAGGTGAAAATTAAAAAAAATTATTATTTTGGAAAATATTGAGTCAAACGAACTGAGTCTTGTATTTTCTAAAATAGTTTCCAAAGGGCTTTGTTGGGACAAAGTTTGGGGGATTTCGATTTTTCCATCTTGCACACCTATCCGTGGTATTTACAGAAAGTCGCTCTTAAGCACATTCTACAGAAAAGACATGTTTAGGCTGAAACCAGTGGAGCATAATTGACAGAATTATTTTTATGTGGCTGTGTCCATAATATTAGAAAAAGGAGATTTGAAAAAAAGGAAGTTACATGTACATTATTGTATGATCTGATCTGATTCTCACAGAGAAAATGAATAAATATATATGGCAAAGTACTTAAGTATACACAGCATTTCCTTTTATGGGCCACTCATTTTGGAAAGAGAAGATTAAAGACAGAGTAAAATTATTGCAATCAAATGTTGTAATTAAATTGTCTTAAGAGAACAAGAGCCGATTTGCGTAAAATACACAATGTAGGTCTTAAAATGAGGGAATGACGTTTCAGAGATTACTTAGCTCGTAAATTTCCTATCGGGGGTGGGGCCATGTCCCTCACTCCACTACCCCCTTCCCCCAGGGAAAGTGCAACTCTGGTGCATATTTTTTGCCTTACTGGTCGTGAATGGTCCCTTACCTGCTGAGCTAAAATTTGGGGAGAACATTGGTCTTGCCCTGTCGAGACTCAGCCCAGTTTGTGCCTTGAGAAAAGATTTTGTTTTGGTGGTATAATAAATCCTTTATTAATAACCAAGCTTGCTCTGTCATTTTTACATTTTACTTCATCTTACCCCACAAAAGTGTCAGGAAAAAAGAACTTGTCTATTATCCAGCCCTCTTGCTTGTTTCGTGCTTTTTCAGTGGGTACCTATTGCGCCCAAGTGACTTATTTCATTTTTATTGCGCTAGATAATGTACTGTACATGTACATGTAACTGAAAGTAAGTAAACAAATAAAACATAGTTGTTAAAAATAGGTAAGCAAATGTGGCTGAAATAGTTTGTTAATTTGTGTTTTGTTGTTGATTCGTTAACAGACCTGAGCACAGATGAATCTGACTTTTCTGACAGTGATCATGATTACACAGAACCACCAACTGAAGAAAAAGATGAAGAGGATGGTGATGACCACAATGATGGTAATTCACAGTAACATCCTTCCTAGAAATTATCATTCAATTAACCCTTTAAGTCCCAATATCCAAATACAAATTCTCCAAACTGGTCTCCATACATTTCCTTAAAGAATGAGTTAAGAGAATTTGATAAAAGATCAAGGTATTTTCTCTTTGGTGATCATATTATTAATTCTCATAACCTAATCTCTTAACAATGTATGGATATTGTTAGGAGAATATTGATGTTGGTCACCATTGGGACTTAAAGGGTTAAGGATTAAACAGTGCATAAACAACACAGCAGTGTCGCTGTTACATAGTCAACTATTTGTAAGACAAACATAGGCAGTCTTAGTAGTGTTTACCTCTTGCACATGTAGGTCATAGGAGTATGTTATATGAAACCTGTACGTGACACAAATAGTGTGCCTGGGTTACCTGTGGTCTTAGAAGAAAGTTGACTGTATATACTGTTTAGTATTATCGAAACTGACCTTTACTAAGCCTTTTCAGCCAGGTGATGCTGTTTGTGTCCGTTATTAAAACATTTTTATTTTTTATTTTATTTTTCAGCATCATCAGAACATTCCTTCTCGTCAGATTCCTCTCATGATTACTGTGTTCCTCCAGAGAGCATCTCTCCTCCTGAACCCCCAAACAATTATGGGGATATTTATGATGAGGTGGATGATCTTTATGCAGAGGTGAGCTGTGTAGAAAATTATTTTCATGTAAGTGTATTGGGTTCCAGTTACATGGGCAGGTAGAGTTTTTTGGGAATTTACAGTAAGATAAAATGTTTCAAATTCTTGCTAAATTCACGTGGATGTGCATCTAAAGCTGATTTTCAAACTGTTCTGACAAAGTGGAATTACAATGTAATTACACTGGAAACCAATTACACTTTCCTGTGGATAGAGATTTATCCAGTTGATAGCGCTATCAACCCTTTGAACAACTGAGGCGAGTACTTTAACTTCGTCTTGGTCCAAACGTAAAAAAACTTGTCTTGACCTAACGCATACAGCTCAGTAACACAAATGTACTGTTACCCCTTGCTCCCTGTCATGATGTGACTACCCTTAAGTTTTACATTGAACATCTTTTGAATTTAAGTATAATTTCAGCTTCTTTACCACCATAAAATGGTTATTATAACAAGGTATTTAAATTTTTACTAGCTTTCATATTCCATAGCCTCTCCACAAGTCAGATGAAGAGGAATTTTCTTCAGGTAAAGACATTTTGTTAACAATGGTTACATAAAAGGTTTTAAAAAAATGGTTTAAAGGCTTGTTTATTGTGGAAAGTGCACTTAGCTTATCCAGCTAGTTTACAGGCACTCCAGTCAAATATTTAGAAACAAATAATAATTCCAATACAACGTAACAGGATTAAAAACCCCCAACTGACAGGAGGCAACCACTTGGCTATTTACATGTACAAGAGTTGGCCAGGATTTGAACTCAAGACAACCGAGAGCAACTCTAGCAATTCGCCAGAGTGGGACTCGAACCCGGGACCGCCGGATTGCAAGTCCAACACGCTGACCACTAGGCCCTGCTGCCTTCTTATTAAATGACTTATGACTGAGTAAATTCTAATTCCATCCGTCGTCATGCGAGCGATAAAACAAAATCAGATGACCATGTAGTGTCAGAGAGTCTGGTTTGTTTACTCACAAGGTTGATAACACACTAGACTGTATGACCCAAAACCTTAACAAAAATTATTGATCAAGTTTTGAACATTATAATGTTTCATTTAAGTGTTAAAACGTATTCGTTATTAGAGCATGATAACAACTAGTAGGTACTTGCTTTGCCACAACATGGGCCAAATTTAAGGGCTTGTAAAATCATTTCTTTTACGTCAAAAGATCTCAGATTTTGGATCTGAACTTTGAATGATAAAGTTTATAGCTACAATGTACACAAAAACGGTTTTCGTGCCTTGTACTATAGGTGCGATTTGTTTGCATTTTTTTTCAGGCGAGCAAAGGCAAGTGGAAAGTAAGATGGGCCCATTGGGTGTGTGTCTCTCTCTCTATGCCTACTTTGAGCTTGCCTTTGCTCACCTGAAAAATAAAAAGCGCCTCTTCTGCAGGCTACAGTTATCGTTTCAAGGACACTTTATACCGTTATGTGTTTATGTTTGTTTGTAGATGAAGAAAGAGACACTTTTGCAGAAGGTTAGTATTCTTGGCAAATTAGTCTTTCCTGGCCTTCCAGGGTTTATATTTATGCAACATTTAATTGACTAAGGGGACATCATCCAGAGCTCTTTCGGTCTCCATTTTATGTTGGGAAAAAAAATAGGGCCAAAAAGTGTGACTGAATCATTTGTATGATGGAGGAAATGCAATGTTCATGTATATGTTACAGGTCAAATTTGATTTCAGGTTAATTTTGATTTAATGTCGGTCGATTCTCAATTTCCTTTGTTTTCTAGCCCTAATTCATGAATAATTAGGGCTAGGAGACAAAGCAAATTGAGAATCAACCTAGGTTAAAAAAAATTTAACCGGAAATCAAATTTGACCGGTAACATATACAGCAAAGAATGCCTTATTTCTCCGTTGTACTATCTACTCTGACTCAACGTTAAGGTTTCATTTCAGTTCTTTAAAAAGAAGTAAAAACGAGCGAAAAAAGCTTTGGACGATGTGCCTTGAATGAATGCAGCAAATTTTAAGTGAAAACATAAACTGGCCTAGAGTTTTACATCCGTGATTGGTTGGTTATGTACAAGGCACGGGGGTAAGTGGCGAGTTTTCTAGAATCTTGTAGTGATCCAAAAATTATGCAATATTTCAAGTTTCAGAATAACAAATACATCTATGAAGTAACTGAGCAGCGCAGTTTGAGTTAACATGTTCTTTACAGTCTCTTTTTTTGTGCATGTAGCCATTGCATAACCTTTGCTTTTTCTTTCACTTGTTTTAACAGAGCCCTTGTACCAGGTCTATACCCGGTGCACACTGCAGCGTCAGCGAAGCATTAGTCGACAGCGCATGGGCAGTGACAGCAGTGATAAGTCACTAACGGATGATGAAGCCTTCTTGGAACAGCTAGAAAAAGGAACGCTGAGAAACATGAGAGTGCTTTGGTGTGAATTACCAGAGGTTTGTTGATAATCATATAGATATAATAATAATAATCTCTTAAAATTGAAAGGAAATGTTAAGGAAATTAAATTTAACAATAGTGGCGATAATCTGTGAGTGAAAGGGTTCAGGTTACGTTGGATCAATGCAGCCAGATAATAAATGGTAAATATTCAGTGGAATACTTGATACCTCAACTTTGAATAAAGAGTTAGCTTACGTCAGTCAATGCCTTCATAAAGGCTGTAGCAAAGCAAGATTTAGATGTCTTTTTAACCCTCCACTGTAAAAAGTGTCTTGCTCATCTTTTTATAACCTTTTTAGGCAATCAACTGTAAGTAATGTTTTAACAGTTTTATTTTTCCACATTTTGAAATTTTTAGTGAAATTTAAATTCATTTTTCTCTAATCGTATCTAATTCTGTAGGAAGTACACAAATACTTTTTTGAGTTTAGATTAGTGCTCTTGCTTAGTAGGAAACCGTTATCCATCTATCTACATGTTAACAATCTTTTGCATAGAGGATACGTAAAGTTGTCTCCAAGTAGAATGAGCAATTCAAAGGTCTTTCATGATATGCTCCTCTTCCGCAGGTCAAAGAAAGTGGCATTTTAGACAACATAAAACGAGAGGAACGCAAAAGACAAGAGGTAAGTAATATAATTATATAAATGGATTTTAGTATCATACAATAAGCTTTATATTTGCATCTAAATCCAGCTGTATGGTCTTTACAAAGAGTCTAGCAGACTTGGAACATTGGAGTGTGGTACTGTCAACTTTTTCTAAGACGGACATCTTCTGGACCTGCCCCGACTGTCTGTCTTAGAGAGGTGTCCGGCTTATAGAGGTTCGACGTAACGTGATACTAGTAAAAACTTTAGCTGAACTTGTTCGCATTGAATACACGTCTGTTTAACTTATGCAAAACAGCTAAAACTGCAACACTGTAACAGTGGAGTCATTTTCTTGTCTATGAATCAAACGTTCATTTAAAGAAAGTGTCCACGGTTTCGTGGTATAAAAGCGTACAATGTAACAGTATAAACTTTGCAAACTGAAGAAAGACGACAAAATATTAAAGATTTTGTAATTTACAATCTTGTAGAGCACCTACATTAATATTTCCGTTTTGAGGTATTTTTCACTGCACAAAGCACTTCTCAAGTGTTCGTTGATGGTTTCAATAGTGTCTGTTGTCCGTCTTAGAGATGTGTCCGTCTTATAGTAAAGAAAACACTCAACTGGACCTGAGGTCTAACACTTGTGAAATGCAGCTACTGTTCCAGCAGCTATAAGTTTACTTAGCGACGCATCTGCAGTACGTATACCTACAAGACGAATGGTGGGACTCCCGATCTGAGCACTTAAAATAGAAATTTTGGTTTACTGTGCCTTTCAATGACATGCAACACATGGTTAACTTCATAACATTCTTGCTTCTATTTTTAATGACAACGAATATCAACCAAAAGAAATGATAAGCTAATCACTTCAGTTCAAAACACCCTCACTTTCAAAACGAGGCTAAGTGTGAAAAGGAGTCTCATTTGCATGAGAATAAAAAGCTTCGCTTTGAAACAGAAGTTTGGGGCGACTTGTTAATGGCCTATAGGACATAGGGTCACACAGGGCCACTATGTCTTGAGATATACGCGTTGATACTGAATCGTGAAAGTGAGAACTTTCATTTGAACTATAAGGTCGCATAGTATTAAGGAGAGTGCTTTAACTGTGTTGATTGCAGGCAATGTTTGAGGTGATTACGTCAGAGGCAAGTTATCTCAGAAGTCTAAATATTCTGATGTCACAGTTCATCAAATCAGAAGAGTTGAACGCAGGCTCCTCGCTGTGTGTTTTAGAACGAGGCCAGTCACATGTGCTGTTTTCTAATATCAACTCCATCAAGTCTGTCAGTGAGAAGTAAGTTAATGCAGCCTCTCTGTAATAACAGTTTTATTAAATAAGTAGGGGTTGATGATTCTTAGGCATATGTTTAACCCTTTAAGCCCTAATATCAACATACTAATTCTCCACACTGATCTCCATACGTTTCTTAAGATTCAATTGAGAGAATTTGATAAACGATCAAAGCGTTTTCTCATTGGTGATCATACACGAAAACAATACCGGATAGGGCTTCTGTTCACACTCAAGAACAGTGATTTCGGCGCCGTTTCTGTAAGACTAACGGCGAACTCGGAAGTGAAGCGTCACATACCGGATAGGTTCTGTGCCACACTTTGGTGCTGTGTTACAGGTTTTCGGACTCTGGGGGAAGTGAATATGAAAATCCAAATTAATTTTTATGAGCTTCACCGGCCAATTTGGTCACCAGGGTGATTAAATGAAGAATTGCTGCCATTTTTATGATCACTTTATTTTCGTTTCGTTGTCTGTTAAGTTTTGTTTGTGTTGTTTTATTGTTTGTTTGTCGGCTTTGCCAATTTAAAAGGGCTTGTTTTTCTCTATGTATCAAAGTCAAGGTATTTACCTAAACGAATGTTTCACTTTATGGTTAGAATGTTTGTTACTGATCACTTGTTCGTTACCTTGTAGCTTTGTCCAGGCCTTGCGTGCACGCCAAAAGGAAGCTGTGGTTATATCATCTATCAGTGACATTATTGAACAACACGTAAGTTAACACTTTTTATATCGTTTTTGTTAGACTAAAATACAGTTAAAATCCGCGACGAAGAACCTTGTTTTGAAGAACCTGTTTAGCCTAAAATTTGAAACAGGTTCTTATTTCAGTTCTAAAAATGTCTATGAAAAAAATTCTGTACACTTGGGCAAATAAGAAAAGTCCACATTGAGGATGCTCTTTGGAGACATAGGTGCATTAATTACTCCAACTCCAACTGCAATTGTAATGGCATATACATTTTTATAATACGTAAAGAATGAACTGAATTCCACCAAATATTCTTAGCTAAAATGCAGGTTCCTACTCGCGGGTTTTTACTGTGTTCACCTTTCCCAGCTCTGCAATCAGATCTGTTTTTCTTACACATTATACCTGCTTAAACTCAGCAAAGAAAGCCCAGTTTTTGCTCTCATCACTCAAGATCAGTTGTAAAAACTCATGTGCTGTTCTTAGCCAACTGTCTCTCGTCATGAATTTGTATCCCATAACAGGCTACCCAGTGCTTTGAGGTTTACGTCAAATACTGTTCCAATCAGATCTATCAGGATAGAGCATTAAGAAATCTAAGGTAAGCTGAAAAAACAGATAGCGTTTGTATTTTTTAGTCAGTAAGGCCTAACTAGTCTCGCCTTGCTAGAAGAGCCTTTCATTCACTTGCTCGATTTTGCCGTACTGGAGTGAGACTGCATCAGGGTTCGTACAGGTCATGGAAAACCCGGAACTGAGTCATGGAATCTAAGAATTGCATTTTCTAGGCCTGAAAGTCATGACATTTAATTGTCGGTCCTTGAAAGTCATGGAAAATTGAAGTTTTGTTTGGTAGATTCGTTACTGCCGATGACAAATCAAGGACAATGTAGGAGCGAAGTCACTGAACAGCGCAAAGATCTTTGTTGAGCATGCGCTGCTTGTTGCTAGGATACAGCTTCAAAACCAGGCCTAATATCCGTGCACTTGGTACAGAAGGCTCAGTCATGACCACCTGCTTAACAATAAACGGATGTTCGCACTCAAAAAACCGGTTTGACGAAGAAACAAGATTTACTCATCCAGAAATTTGGGTTTCGGTGACTTCAAAGAGTTGACGTGATTCAAGCAGAGCTTTCTTTTTTCCTTCTCAGCAAAGAAGGCAAAAAGAGGCTCTACTCACAGGGTGAACCAATCTAAAAACAACTGGTGCAAACAAGAACAACAAATATTAAACAGCTGTTATCGTAAGAAGCAGCGCAGTGGCGGATCCAGACCTTCAGATAAGGGGGGGCGGTCATCCAGATCCTGAGACAAAGGCGGGGGAGGGGCGGGGGTCTCCAAAAAAATTTTTCAGCCCTTCGGGCCTCAGTTTGGTCTAAAAATAAGGGGGGCCCCGGCCCCCCCGGGCCCCTCCCCTGGATCCGCCACTGCGAAGAGTGATCATTTTTGTAAGGTAACTACAGCTCTCGTTTTAATTTTAGTTGATCAATTTTTATCTCTGCCAGGATAGAGCTGCTAAAATGCTTGTCAATTTAATACATGGATTTCACAGTGAAAGATAGGGATGTCAGTCACTATACATGTTTTGTCTAACAATTTTTTTTTACACAAGAAAGCTAGTTCTGGTACCGCTCTCACTCGTTAGTGTCTTTCATGAGTGTCTCAAAGCCGGTATTCGAACACAAATTTTTTTGGGGCTTTATTTGAGTGTCAATGTATTTAGCACGAAAGTACAAATTGGGGACAATTTGTGCAGTTTGGTGTGTTGAGAACTAAACATGCATTTTTTTGTTATTTTACAGAAAGAGTGTGCGTTTTTCGGAGGCTATGAAGAGACTACAAAGGAGAAGGGAAGTACAGGGTTTGACACTGCAGTCATTTCTTGTTCTTCCCATGCAGAGAATAACGAGGCTTCCTTTGCTTGTGAATGTAAGTATTTTGAATATCGAATTCCAAATTTCATCATCTCTACCAGGCATTCGCCACTGTAGACATGATGAGACTAAGCTGGGTTAAATTTCGTAAAGACTTCTAGGACTGTTTTTGGCGATGGAAAGTAATGGGCCAACAGCTCACCGGCGCGTCCCCAGCAGCGATGCTAGAAGTCTTTGCGAAATTTAACCCGGCCCAGCTTTCTTCTCGTTTCCTAGAGTAGCAAAATGGTCATTTTCAAGTTGCGCGGAAAGACTCGACTGGTATCCCCATGTCGAAATGCACTACGGGACGGTTTTGGAACACCTGGTCATCTTTGGTTGGCTGTCACATTTTGCATAGAAAACTGAATCAAAATTCGTCCACTAGAACAGTGCCACGGTGCAGTTCGAAACGCCACCGACCCAGTCTTCTGCGCGTCCTCCAAATAGCCGATACCCTGGGCACTACAAGGTCAAGTCAAACTCTTTAACCCAATAAAACTTCTCCTTCGGCGCAAAAGATAGTTAAATGATGGAACTATTCTGCGTTTAAGGGGTTAGGAATTCGACTCGACAAGTTTTGGGAAAAGGTGTCTGACTTAGCGTGTCTATTATTTGTGCCAATCCTGAGGTGAGAGTGTGGAAATAACTGTATATTTGACCAAACCCACACGCTAAAGAAGTTTCTGGCTCTCCTGGTGTTACGTTCCTCTGAGTTACTATTAAGAAAGTTTTTGTTGATATTTTTGTCATTATTTTGTGTCACTCTTCTTAGGCCATCTGTCAACACTGTGAAGCTGGAAGTGAAGAGTTTAACAGATCAAACCGGGCGTTAGCTGCTATCAACAAGGTGAAGAAAACTGAACAAAAACTTAATCTAATTTTGGTTTTCTCGCCATTTTACTCCGTGGATATCGCGGAGGTGCCGTAAATTTAATCAAGGCCGTAGTATCACAATGTAAGCTAGGCTGCATCGTGTTATTGTAAGAAACACTGACTAAAGGAATCGAAAGGGCGATTTGTATTGAGCGTTTTTTGTTAATTTAAACCTCTAACCTATTATCGCTTCCCTGGTTTCGTTCAATATGATTAAAGAGAATATATTTTCTTTGACACCTTGGTGATGAGTAAGGACATTTTAAGATCGTTTCACGGACATACGCATTTATTTCCATGTTTTCTCCACTTCCTCGTCCCCTGTCCTAAAAAAAATATTATTTCGTTCTCAAAGTCCAAAGTTAAACTGCTCTCTGAGTTTGGGATATCTTCAGGACTCAATGTAAATGTAGGCTTACGATGTGTATTTTGTAGATAGTAAATGATTGCAATGAAGGGGCAAGAAAATGGAACGAATGGAGGAAATTTGTGTTTTGCAAACGCAAATATAATTCAAAACAAAGGTTAGAAAACAGTTTGATTGCTTATTACTTAGGATAAGAACCGAGCGCATTAAAAAGGTTTTTGTTTGTATGTTTTTGTGGTATTTTCTGTTGTTATATTACACGCCATGGTGTGAGGGATTTTCAAGTAAGGAGACAGTCTAGTAGTAAGCGTTGTTTTTCGTTCATTCCCGCCTTTTTTCTTAAATATCTAGCCAAGATTTCATTCAATCCAATAATGACTCAATAAGGTTGGAGTCCGTGGTTCAATAATTTTTTGAAAATTTTTGGATAATTTTTTAAATGTTTTTAATGTATAGTCTATAGAGTGATTTTACTTGACCCGAGAAGCTGAGAATAACAACTAGTGCAAAATAGCTACAAGTAAACAAAAGAGCACAATGGAATTAGTGCAAAATAGCGCGTGGTATTCCTCTAACTATTTCACAGGTTAAGTAAAATCACTCTAAAAATTGGGGGACTAAAAATTGGAGGAGTGGATTTCTAAAATTTTGAAAATTGGAAAATATTGGATTATGGGGTTGTTAAAAATTAAATTTTCTCCAAAAAACTACAACCAGCAGACTGCCTCCTTAATTCTGATCGATATCTAATAAGGACCAAGGTATAATTTTTCAAATATCAGAATAGCGAGATGAACATAAGAGGATTTAGTATATACACACTCAGTGATCTTGGTGATTTAAGCAATCTGATTGGTTCGCTATCTCGGACTATTCAACAATATTCACCTCCTAGCGAGTGGATAATGTGTGAGCTCAGTGTTTTTCCCATTTTTTAGAGAACGATCTTTTAAAAGTCGACAGAATCGTAGGGCTGACTTTTTTTAAGGCAAGAAAAGACTTGGAAGGATTCAATACGGCGTTTTTCAATTTACTGTAGCAGGAGTTTTGTGCTCGATGGATTGTTTACAACTCCCGTGTATTCGCGTAGAAGAAGCCGTTGGGTGAACTCAGCGTTTTCTAAGAAGAAAATTTTGGCTCAAAAATCGAAGTTTATTTATGACAAACAAATTTAAAAGGAAATGTTTGCAGAAATTCTACGTTTCAAGTAAACAGGAAAAAGAATGATACAGAAAGACGACGTCTTACCTCGAGCAACTGAGCCGCCATTTTTGTCAGCACTTCATGCGAAGAACGACACAACAAACCCTTTTGGCTAAAAACTTGGCGAGTCAACAGAAAACAACACACCTCTACTTTTCTTCTCAGGTAAGGAAACAGTTCAAACTTTTAGCGGTTCCATTTAAGCCATTACGCTGTTGTTTGCGAAATGATAAACTTGTGAATTGCCATGTTTGAAATTTCTGCAAAGATCTATTTTTAAACTTACGCGTGATTTTATCTGTCAATCAAATCGTACTTTTGAATGGTTTCCTCTCTGATTTTGTTGAGATCACTTCGTGTGTATATACTAAAACAATTATTCTTTTCAATCTCGGTGAATAGTGGCTTTGGGAATATTTACCTCGCCGCTTTCGCGTCTCGGTAAATATTTTGCCACTATTCACCTCGATTTCAAAGAATAATTGTTAAATATATACTTAGCATAGTTGTAAGGATGAAGTATCCAATACTAGTGGCGGATCCAGACCTTCAGATGGGGGGGAGGGGAGGTAGGGGCTTGCTTTCACCAGACCCTGGGATGAGGGGGGGAGATAGGGGCTTGCTTTCACCAGACCCTGGGATGGGGGGGGGGCGGCCTCAGTTTGGTCTAAAAATCAGTGGGGGGGCGGGCCCCCCCGGGCCCCTCCCCTGGATCCGCCACTGAATACTCACAGGTTGATAATTTATTTATTTTTGCAGCCTCTCGCGTTAGCGACGCCATCTTGATATCTGCTCAGACGAGGTGATATTATGCAAGTTGTGGAGGACTCCAAGAGCCCACTGAAGAGACTAAAACCCAAATTGAAATCTATATGCATGTTTCTTTTCAACGATTTGTTACTCTTGGCCAAAAAAGAAAAGGTATGAATGTTAATTGATTGTAGCGGATGGTTTAAGCTTGTTATAATTGTTATTTCGTTCAATTTTTTTGTCTTTGTCTTAGTGAAGTTAATAAAATCAAAGTCACAAGTTAGTTGATATTTACCGAGATATTTGCTTAGACTAATATTATTTAATTATCGTTAACGTTTCATCTTTTGTTTTCCCTATCAAGCTAATCTACTAATTTCTTTCAGTGAGAATCGGTTTCAAGTTCTGGATTACGCCACACGTAACATGACCCAAGTGGAAGAACCTCAGGAATTGGATATGAGTTAAGACCACGTGTTCTCGTTGGTATTGTTAGAGAATTCTGACAGTAAAACCAAGGAGTTCTTGATGGCTGCCAACAGCGAGTAAGTAGTTGTAGTATTATGTGTCACCTGATGTTCACTTTTTAATTTCTGTTATATACAGTTGTCTAATTTGTTTTTAAAGGAATTGTGTCACAAAATTTATCAAGATTCAAACAGTAGGAAACGCCACCAAACTGAGTGAAACATAAAAATAACCGCTTAAGGACAGTGTCCACTATTGTTACTACGCACATTTTCTGCGCATGCCAAGGTAATCACGCGCGACGCGAAAGAAATTCGCAACACGCAGGACACGCGGACTGGTTTTGTCTCCTCTAAGTCTGGGAGGTTCTAGTTATTTCTTGTTGGAAAAGATGCGTCGTTTTTCAACAGATGAAAATAATTTCTATTTACCTTGTCAGTTCTTTGAAAACCGAAGAAGTATGCGCATGTTGCTATTTCTGTCGTATGGTCGATCTGACCGAACATTTTATAGTCAAACAAAATTCAATTCTAAAACATCAAAAGTTATTGCTTCGAGATGTTACGCTTGGAGCTTGGGTATTAAAAAATCCCTTAATGGGCAAGGATCAGTAAATCAGAAGGAAAATAGCTCTAAGTCCTCCGCTTAATCGAGAAACTGCAAGCTTACCTTTCACTCGCGTCCTTCTCGTTTTATCGGCTAATCGGCTATAAACACTTTCCCGAATATTTCTTTAATTTTGTAAGATTTTATGTAATTATTCACTAGAAGGTAGATTTAAAGCTTATTCACTAGAAGATAGATTTAAAGCATTCGAGTACACATAAAGATGTCCCTTTTATTGAGAGTCCGAAGCTTTTATTTGTTGAATAAACAAGAAAAAAACTATCACAAGATTGCTTGGATTGCTGAGATCGCAGCTTCACAAATAGTTGCGGACCGCAAAGGAAACGCTTTCATCGTGGAAAAAATCGTAAAAAATTGTTATGCTTTTTACTATTATCATTGTTATGTAAGCATTTTGCCATTACTAAGCATTGAAATTGTTGACTCATTGGGTAGCTTGTCGTGTAGATAGTATTTCTTAAGGTTCAATTTCACACCACACATAATCTGGACATTTAGACATAGCTGCCATTTTGCTGTTTACAAACGAAAAAGCTGGAAGGCAAAATAAAGTATTTCCATTCTAAGACTTTCTTAGGTTTAACAGACACTGTTAAGTCTAAAATTAACATTTAGGAACGAAAAATAGTGAATGACCATGACACAGAATGCTACAGTAAAAAAAATCAAAACGAAATATATAAAATGACCATTATAGCCCAGTTTATACATGAGGGTACGTAAACGCATTCGGTACGACTACTTTCCCAGTATTCAGCTTTTTTAAAAGAGAGCTCACGTATGGAACTTGAGTCTATTCAAATCATTTATGTCATATGACACTTGTGGCAAAGCCCGAAAGAGATGGCTAGATAGCGCAAAGCACAGATATAAGCTCATTGAATGTATGCAAGTTTTATAATACCATATTCGTTCAAGGTACCGGGTAAAATGATAAAAAACGATAGAAGGTTTACAATCCATATTACGTCTACATTTCAAAAAATCTTGAGGACATGTACAGGTAAGCAAACGATTGAAGGCGTACCTGTCTAAGAGTCCCTGTCGACTATTTTCCACTACAGTACAGTAGTTTGTTTACAACACCAGCCTTGGATCTTTAGCTCGCAATACTACTCTATGTGCGCTGGAAGTAATCTCTAATACCTCGGAGATTGCTCTTCTCCAAAAATTTTTGTTAAATTTTTGAGACGGAGAAGCTCCAGTTGAATTAAATAGTATAATTTGTTTTCCTCAGAGTCCATGAAATGTCCTGCTTCACTTTCTGTTTTTGCTCTCTTCCGTGGGTTGTTGTTTTCTCTGACTGTTAGCTATTGTGGATATCCCAGAGTACTGCGCGTTGAGTGAAGCAATAGTGAAACTGACCGGGGAGGGGATGGGAAAAATTGTAAATAACCCCCAAAGCGATTAAGTTAAGGTCGAATCCAACCAATTTGACTTCTAAAAACGCGTGGCAACCCCTACTTTTTATCTTACCAAATGAAAGTAATAAGCCTAGTCGGCAAACGATCAATTTTTGGTTCGGGGAAAATGTCGTTTACACTATTTTTAAGGCAAACGCTTGGAGACGGGTAACTGCTGATAACTTCCCAGTTATGCTGATATTTCCAAAAAAGACGTATAAAGAGCAGTTGTTATGTTATCATTTGTTGCTGATTTTGAAACCTTGTTACAATTATCATTGCATTTGTGCCAGTTCACGTTTACACTCTGAAATTTGGGGAAAAATAACTTTTTATCATTTTTCTTAAAAATGCCTATTCAGCGTTTTTCTCCATATTGAAGCGCAGTTATCTCTGAAAAAATGCATGCTTACCCCCAGTTTTCTTTTTGGATTTCAATATCCCCTGATATGATCTACTTGTCTCACATAGTCATTATCTGGGAAAAAATACTTCCCATTAGTGGGCACCGTCCTTAACAGTCCACAAATCGCATTAAAAAAGAAATAATGTTGAAACCTCACCAAAACGTGCAAACTCATCCTAATCGACGTGAAGAAAAATCCGATATTATTTTTTTCGCTGATCTTTTTAAATGAATGTTTAAAGGTATTGTTTTTTTCACAACCTATTTTGAAACAACAACAAAACACGGATCTAACTCTATGACGCCCCCAGTCAGTAAAATAATCCAATTTCGAGTTGGCTATCGCCTGTTGAATAAAATGAGTGAAGACGCTTTTTTTTCACAGGCGTAGCCTCCATCTGAAGTAAACATAATCTCAAATTCCATCGAGAAGAAGATCTGGTTATTAGTCTTTCAAAAGACCTCTTTATCTTGTATGTTTTGTTTCTCCAATACAGGTCATGTGATAATACTCTAGAGGACTGTTTCTTTCAAATTTTGTCTTACTCACATAGATATGCAAAGACAAAGGGTGAAGTTCCCCTCGGACCTCTTTTGGGAAAACAAAACATACAAGAAAAAGACGTCTATTGTATATTTTAAAATTTCCGGAATTTGTGAAGACAGTAGAACTTCGACTTAACAAAGGGCCAGGAGACTGGCAAAATTTGTTCGCTGTAACGAGGTTTCGTTATGTCGAGGCTCTTTTTTCATATATTTTACTGCTACTGGGAAAAAGAAAATCATGTGTTATACCGAGGACTTCACTATGTGGAGGTTCTTTTTATATCGAGGTTCCACTTTATTTTACTTTATGTCGAGGCTAACCCTGTATGAAAGTGTCGTTAATTTTTGTATTCAGGGGAACAGGAGACAATTTTGCATGCGCATGCGTGCATCCGCGGAACGACAACAGAGTTGGCGCATCAACTCTGATGGCGGGAAATCGAAGACTCGCGAAAAGATACAGTCCTTTTAAAAGCCATTTCGTTGGTGCTTTGAATACCTTACTTTCCTACAAAAAGAGTTCTCCATGACAAAAACCGGACGTTTTCTACGCGGGTTTTCAGTTGTAGATTTTTCAGTAGTAGGTTTTCTGTTAAAGACTTGAACGACTGAACGTCAAAAATCACTGTTCCTGTAGCAGATCTGAATTTCACTGGAAAAGAAATGCATTTCAATGGTTTGATTTCCACACTCATGGTTTTACTTATCAAGGAAGAAATGCATCGTAGGAATGTTCAGCTGCTTTAAGAAAAGCGAAAAAAAAATATGCTACGCCAGGTTTATTTATTAGCGCGATGTCTCATGTTAAACTGATTGCGGAGACACGCGTTTATATATGCCACAAAAACATGAAATCTATGGGTATTTTTTTTTACAGTTTTTCAACCATATTGACGCAAGCGCATACAAAATGCCCTCTTGTTATTCAGCGGTAATTTTTAATACGAAAGGATCAACATGTAGAGGGTGACGTCACGATGGATTCGCCACTGGGTGTTATCCTTATTTAAAGACACAAACCAGAGGTTTTCCAACCTATATCGACTCTAATGAAAGAAATAACGGGATCCGTTTTGTCACAGGTAGCCCAAGCTGACTATGAGAGCCCGAAACATTATCCTACTTAGCTAATTAATACGGCAACAATTATAAGACGGTGTATGAGAATTATCCTACTTCGCCATAATTGAGCGAAAGATGCATTAAATTTTTCCTTTTATGCTTGTATTTAGTAGTTTCTTATGTTTATGTGTTGACTGCGTTTCATGCCTGTTAGGATGTCAAGAACTCGAGAACAACACTACCCTTCTAAGCTAATTAATTATTCCTACAGCACGAAAATTATAACACGTATGAGAAATCTTTGCTCACTAAATTAATAAAATGTGCATTCAATATCGCTCTGAAGCTTACCTTTAGCCTTTGCTTGTTTTTCTTCGTCTTCTGGATGCATTTCAGACCTCCTAGGCACTGTTTAATGCCTTATTTTGAGCAACAGGTTTTCACCCAGATGGCAGTATGATCATTTTAAAAGGTTTTTTTTTTTAATTTTATTCTTAAAATGCAAACTGAAGAATCGCACTTGTAGAAATGTCTTTATCGTGTTTATAAAGACCTTGCACTCGCTTGTTTTATATATAATAACATTGGTTATTTCCATTTTATTTGAAAATTATGTATTTATTACTATTTCCTTGGTTGCGAATTCCAGGTATGTGATCACAATACCGCAGGCGTCAAACGCGAGAAGTGTGCTGTTGGTTACTATGGCGACGCCACCAAAGGAACGTCTTAAGACTGTCAACTGTGTCCTTGTCCTCTGACGACCCCATCCTATCAGTAAGTACCTCAGAGATCCCGTTAATTCCTACTCACCCATGAGATGCCCTTGGGAGCTTTTCCTTTCTTGCTGTGTATGTCGAGCTTCAATTTTATCTTTGCAATCGTTTTCAATACGGTAATTTACGAAAATGAGTTTAAAACAAAGGAAAAAATAACCCAAGGATAAAACCAAACCACAATCTAAACGTTGCCTATTAAGATTCTGACCTCAGATGTCCCATTTTTTCTAAGCCTTGGGTTCCGAGGATGGTGGCTATTGCATCGAACCTATCATCAAGCTACGATATGAAGTCATTATGGAAACTCACACAATGTAAACCACTTTTGTCTCACCTTATTTACTCTTGCTTAGAGAGTGTGAGCTGATACTGATCAATGGTGCTGATGTAACTGTTTAACAGGTTTAGCCGAATTTGTAAGCTCGACACAGACGGCAGACCAACGTGTACCTCATGTCAACCTGGTTATACTGGCAGGAACTGTGAAAGGTATGTGGATAGTTCTTCTGAGCCCCGTTTCTGAGAGACATTTCTTTCTTTCCTTTTTAATGTATGTTGTTGGCTTGCTTGTTGCTGTTATTTTTTGTTGTTGCTGCCCAGCGGCGTAGCCAGCATTTTTGTATAGCGGGGTTCTTTATGTGGTATTTTCGTCTAGATTGATAATCGAGCCGAGGAGGGCATGGGGTATAAGGCATTCCGCGGAAAATTTTAATATTTTAGGTCTTTAGAAATTCCGTTTTGTGATTCTGAGCACAAATTTCCATTAACAGTGCCAAATTTAAAAGCTACCATTTTTTGCTTTCAGTGAAGAAATAGTGTGATAGACTAAAAAATGTATATGTTGGTGATCGTTGAATACATTAAAACACACATTGTAGTCTTGTGATTTGCCGTTTACTCAGTAAGCATATTAGCAAGAAGGAGACATCATGGATGCTTCCGTGCAAGGGTGTCGATTGTTGGACTTAGGCCAATTTGCGTAATACAGTGTCATCAGAGCAAAGGCAGCGGAAACTTCTTCTGTTGGGTTTATTTTAACGTTTTCGGTGCAAAGTTCTTTAAAATAGCTTGCATGAGGCAACGTATAGTTGAGTCGATTCCAGTGACTCTTGCTGATTGGCTGTTTCGTTGTAGCTGTCCAGCTTGGAAAAAATGCCTTGTTCAGTGGTGACGGTTTCTTGGAATTCCCATCATCGACCATGCGAGGACCGAGGTGAGGTTTTTTTCTTTGGTGTTCAGTGAACCTTCTGAGAGAAAATTTCTCACCATCAGGAGAGTTTTACGACTGTTATAATACAAAATGAGCGCCCAATTTATTTCCATCCTGGTATTTTATAGCCGAAATACCTTATAATCCACAGTGCAATGTTTACGGCTTTGAGCATGCATGCGTCCATTTTTTTTTACAGATCGACAACACCTGACTATATGTCACTTGAGATAAAAACAGAAGCTCAAAATGGTGTAATCCTATGGCAAGGAGAGGTAAAATAGAGTGTTGTAATGAGTTCGGCCAACAGAGATTGTTTATAACTTATGCCTGATAACCCGATGACCAGAAAAGACATCCATCTACTTTGCCACATTCAGTTCTGAGCTTTTTCTTAATTATTAAAAGATTGTAAGAACAAAACCTTTTTTCTAAAACACTTCCGTATCTCTTTGCCAACGCGTTCGTGTATATTTCACACACACAGGCCCCTTCCATTACGAACAGTTCCCTTGATCTGTAAGGCATCAAGCAACAAATACATACCTCATGTTCTCACCCGGATCAATTCGGTGTCCCTATGAAAAATGTTTCTTCTTGCTCCTTCCAGAGAAGAGACCACTTTGCAGTCGGATTAAGAGACGGATTTCTGGAGTTCAGGTAATTATTTTAGGACTCTTGACGGCCCAACAACTGGTCTCTTTCTAAAATTTTGTATTCTTTGCTTTCAGAGTAAAAACACCCATACATGTATGTGACCACCAAAAATTTCCCAAAGTTTGGGGTCGCTAATGGGAGCTGGTCGCATATAAGACTCTGACGCATCTGAATGTCGCTAAAATTGCCTCTGAAATATGTAATGCACTAAAAAACATAGACAATATACACGTATTAAAAGAATATATTTCGCTACATCAATATACTGATGGATCACATAACCCACTTCACATCCGGGGACAGTAAAATAATAGGGAGATTAAGCAAAAGCGTTTTTGAGTGACGCACGTCAATCGAAGCTAAAAAATGGTATTGCTTTGCGTCTTTTTTCTCATATTGATGATTTTGCTGAGAATTTGGGCAAAAACACTGATTAAAAGTAGTTAACTATGAAATTGAATGAAGCACATCCTCGGTTAAATTTATTACACATTAATCCTTGATCACTGATCTACATAAAAAAAATAAGGGGACGGGTCCCCGGGCCCCTCCCCGGATCCGCCACTGCAAATAACCAGGAACTAAATATATCGGCCCCTACCCTGAGAATACTTTAAAATCATGTTAACAAATCAGTTACGTCTTTCGTAGATTTGAACTCGGTTCTGGGCCCGCTGTACTACAATCCCTGTCTCCAGTCAACGACAGCCAATGGCACTCCATCAAGGTTTACAGGTAAGAAACTTTTTCAACTACAATCTTGAAATAATAGTTCCTAGATCTCCGTATTCTCGATTCGTTACATTTGAGGAACAAGGAAGGGCCCAAGAATAAACCCCCCGACTGTCAACCATGAATAAAATTTTAATCAGTTATTGATTTTGGCCTCTATATAATATGAAGCAGCACTGACTGCCTGACGTCATTCATAAGTTATTTTAATTATTAGATTAGTGACGTTTGTCGTTTTAATTTTGTAGGAGTTTCAGTGAGGGTTCCCTTAAAGTTGATTATGATGATCACGTAAATGGCACCTCAGCGAGGGAAGCAAAGGGCTGAATATTAACCAAGGGTATAACATATTTATGGGTAAGTGCATTGTATATCCTTATCTTATCAGTCATCCCTACGATCAGAATGGGCAGTCAGAAATATATGGATTTCATATATTTTAATTGCGGGAAGAAGAAACAAATGGAGACAAGATAATACATAACTCCAACCCTGACCTCTGCGGTACCGGTGCAGTGCTCTTACCTATTAAGCTACCAAGCAAACTGGGTGTGGATAGTCCGTTAGTATCATCTAAAAGTCTACCTCCTTCGTCAGTGTTCAGGATGATCAAGGTCTTTTTCTCATTTCAACAGGATATTATAGCCTGTATTATCTTTATGTTTTTTTCCTTTTATTTCCAATAGGAGGCGGTGACAATATCGCAAAAATGACACATGCGAAGTTTAATACTGGTTTTAGCGGTTGTATAAAGAATATATTTTTCAAGGACAGAGGCATTGACTTCCAGGGTGACGCTATTCGCGGCTGGAATGTCCTACCGTGCGACAGCGATAAGGTAGAGCCATGAAAAGACATTCTGGAGAAACTGGTTGCCGTGAGAAAGGAGCATTAAGCTCCAGAGGCCACACAGCTCTTAAACTAACAATAGTTTATCGTACTTTCACATTGAAATACTTGATAACTAGCGCGTTTTTTGTTGCTTGGTTACACTTTAAATTAAAGTTAAGCAACCGTTGACGGTAAGATAGAGAAGAGAAATGTGGAACTCTACGAACACGAGTATTAAAAAGAGTTAGTTTTTCCCAAAAATAGAGAATAACCTGTACAGTTATTGTCCTTTTTACCAAAAGAAATCATCCAGATAACCAGTCTGGCTTTGGATCTGATCTGTTGAAATCAGCCACTGTTGTTTTCCTCTAGGCCTCGACTGTTTAAAAAGCTTTTTTTAATATCTTAATGCTGTTGTCCTAAAATGCATCTTGTTACACTGGACCTGCGCTTAAACCTTCCATTTTTGGAGTTAATCGACTCTATGGACAAAAACAAAATGTGTTTCTGCTTCAGCACACCTTCATGTACATGTAGCATTTATTAACAATTTTCACTGATTTCATGTACGTCTTGTAAGTTAATGATTTAAGGGTAGATAACGTCTGTCTCAAACACCGAGGCCAGAAAAATACTACCTGCCATTTTAGAGCTCTGTTTTAGACCGTGCAAAGAAAAAATAGGGTTAACGTTGGCTTAGGGGAGGGGTAGGTGGGCAGTTTCCCAGAAAAGTATAATGATCCACATAAGGATTTTCGCTTTTGATATTTATATTGGCTCTTTGTCGTCAAAAATTTATTTTATCTCAATTGTTTATTATATTTACACCTTTTGTACATATATGTTTTTTCGTATTTTTTTTTCTTGGCATATATGTGTAAGTTTGACAAAAAAAGAAACGTCGCCTTTCAAGAACTTGTTGAAGATAACTTTTAGTTAATTAGCTAGTAAGTTAATATATGGAAAAAAATAAAACTGACAAATAGTGTTACTTTCCTGCAACGTTATAATTATGGTACGTTTACCAACGAGACGTGTCACAAC